GACGTTTTGCCCTCGCCCACGACGTTTTACCCTGGCCCTCGACATTTAACCCTCGACACTCGACCAATAGATAAACTCCACACGACATATAGGGACACACAAGGTTGCACTAATTGCATGGTATAGGGTTGAAAAGTTGCCAATGATAAATTGGTGATTTCTGGCTTCTGCTTTTTGTTGTCAAATTATTGATTTTCTTTGGATAAATCTACCGTTGAAACTGTTCTATGCGAACTCTCTTGCTCCCCATTCCCTTGTCTATTACACCATAGCCAATCTCGTTCCCCGAGCCTGCGATCCTCGGTAAGGAAACAAAAGCTCTGGGATAATCCGTTGCCGAAAGTCAGGAATTCAGGCTAAGATTGAACTGCACATTCCATATCAACGGCCAATCAGATTCCTCCCTGAAACGGATTATCCCAGAGCCTTCGTTTCCTTCCCAAGGACCGCAGGCTCAGGGAACGAGATTGCACCATAGCGCGCATGTCATCATTTTCAGGTCAGTGTGAACGCCTGAGTAGGCGTCTTGTTTACATTTTAAAGCTAGCACCGGTATCGTCGCCGGTACGTCGCAGGCACGTCGCAAGCATATATGTGAACCAGGCTCAAATTTTTCATATTTTGACATAAATATATTGATATTAAACTTATTGAATCAATATTTTAAGTTTCAGGCCAATTGTACCAAAAGTTATAAGCGCTAGTGCATAACCAGGTGTGCGACTGCTTCTGTTTACGGTACTTGCTGCGCAGTGCTTGCATAAGTCTTCAATGAAATTTCCCTTTTTGAGCGTCAAATTTTCTTTTTTTCGTTAATTTTCCTTGCCAAAATCACGAAATTTCCCTTCAAATTTCCTTCCTATTCGGAGACTTCTCGGAGACTATGGGGCCGGTTGCGCATCAACAACTTGTTCTCTGGTGCCTCATGCGTTTGTGTCTGAAGCGCAAAGATGTTGAACATATGGTATCATAACGCTGAAACCACAATTAAATTAATTCTTTGTCATAAGGTTCATGGTTTTGATTAGCCTGAGAACAGACCTACGTTTCGCCCGCCCTAAAATTCGCGGGCCAATGAATCCGTAAACCCGCAAATTTTAGGGCGGGCGAAACGTAGGTCTGTTTTCAAGCTCGGTTTTGATCACTGAGGTTTTGATGGCATGCAACAGGTACTGCGTACCTATTTTCCTAAATTTATACAAACAAATCAGCGAAGAATAACAAATAGATAAGCGGAAAGTAAGTTTTAGACTTTATCCTTTGTCCTTGTTTAACAAAATCGACTTACATTACTACCACTAAGTAATGATAGATTATTGTTAATAAATTTTTATTCTTTGTGTAAATTTTAGAGCACATTTGGACGCTCAGAATGCAGGAAATGGCATTTCCAATGGAAGCGTCCAAGGTATTTTTAATTTTTATTTTGTTTAAGGCCAAGTTGAATATTGTATATTGTAACTAGTAAGTACTTATATAGACGTATATTGTTCGAGGAATAGCCGAATATATGTGGAGGATTTGAATCAAAACACACTGGGAAGATGTGTCCTATGAAATCCATACTATGAAATTTGCAATTGCACCAGTTTAATCCATAGTCTATCCATACTATTTCGATACTATATCCATAGTATGGGAATATACAATTATTATGGATAAACAAAATCCATTCTATTTCCAATAAAGGTCCATACAATTTCCATTCTATGGATTTTCAATTTTTTCCGGTGACATATAGCACTGGCCAGGGTTTTTTTGTTGTTTGTATTTGTTTTTCGCATTTTGGTTCTGAGAAAAATTTCATTTCAGGCTTGGCGCTAAGTCTATTGAAGTCATGCAATGTATTGACATGATTTTTCAATGGCAAAATGGAAATGGACTGTAACAGTGATTAATTATATAGTTAAGGGACACTTGCTCAATGGCTACCCTCTGTTATATACTGTGCATGCTCCTTTTGACGTAGATTAAAATTGCTACATGTAGTGTTAAGGTGAGATGGCACATCTCTTATCCTATCATTGCATGTGATCAATGCTTATTTGTCTCAACAAAGAGATGGTTTGCGCTCTAGCTATCTCATTGACAATTAGATAACGAGTAGCGTAAAGCCAATCAGAATACAGCATTTGCATTAGAACTGGACAACATTTAAAATTACTAAACGTATATACTGTATAGACTAATGTGAAAATGAATACTTTTAGGATGACGACCCCATTGATGAAGAAGTGAGGAAATCAACCTATCCTTGAATCTTGGCATCAGGTGACATTGCATCGTTGGACCCATTGTACATTGCTGCCGTGGGGCAAATTTACTTGAGTTTTGCTGGTAAAAATATTCCACATACTTATTGCCACATTCTAGGTTCTAAATATGGAATACACTCCAGGTGTTTCGAGTGTTTATGCATTTCTAGAAGCTGTCACCTTAAACCGCCCTGCTGACGCCAAGAAGAAAATTTCCTTACAAAAACTTTTAAGTGAGCTTGGTCTCCGAAATTAATCGTGATAATTACTTAGTTCATATAAATTCATGCATGTTAAAGGTATTTCTTGTCAGCGATTAATTTATAATAATAATCAATTTTGAACCTATATTTCCTTTTGTGTGTGTCTTAATGTGCCTGGTTGAAAGTTTTAAATCAACACCTTAAAACTGGTGTTATTTTAGCAGCAGAAGAGGTGCTGCTTTGGCACTGTCAATGAAGTGTTATTTTAACACTACACGTCTATAAGTGTGAAATCAACTCTTAAAACCAGTGTAATGAGTGTTACTTTAGCACTTAAAAGTGGTGTTACTTCAGCACTTAAAAGTGGTGTTACTTTAAGAATATAAACAGGTGTTAAATTAACCCCGAAAACTAGTGCTAATGTAACACAAAAAATGGGTGTTGTTTTAACATGCACCATATCAAGTGTTTTTTAATAGCACCAAAAAGTGGTGTCATTTTTACCTAATTTTTAACACCACTTTTTGGTGTTATTTTAACACCCTAAAATTAACAGTTGAATTAAGACCTCGTTGAATTTTTGCTTTTCTCCTCCTTTTATACCTGCTAAATTTGTTTCTCACTGCGCATATGCCTGTGAGATGAGTGATGTTCAAATTTATTACTAAACTTAATATTGGGGAGTCTAAATTAGCTTCAACCCCATCCTGCGTGCGAATAGTGTCCAACAATTTTAACATGTATAAATAGAAGAGAAAAACAGAGTTAAAGCGAGGTCCGAATGGCGAGGATTACCAATTAATGGTTGAGGTGAATACAGAATTTCAACAAACATGTAATACCAAAACAAAAATTTGAAGAACAAGTTTCCGGGTATAGGTACTGTATATCGCATTTCTACATTTAACATACAGATCTGGACTTCCAATTGATAACCGTCAACCCTCGACATTCGAACCTTGTTTAAATTTTGTTTTCTTCTGCTTTTGCTTTCTTCTGCAAGATCTAGACTTGCAGTTTCAACCGTTTTCTGTGTGCGCAGTGCATGGTATCTACCAATTTTAACGTGTATAAATCTGATAAACAGAACGGGGCTAAACAGAATTAAAGCGTGGTTGGAATGGTGGGGGTTACAGGGCGAGGGTATCACGAGAGTTACCAATTAAATGTTGAAATGCAGACACAGCATTTCGACAAACATGTAATACCCTTCGCGAACCTAGCTATTTGACCACAGTAATTTTTTTTATTTTCCGGCGTAATGAACTCTTATATTCAGTTGATTTTAAACGGCCGCGATTATAAATGATGTTATAGCTGTGATGATAATATATCATGATAATTAAATAAGCTGTGATGATAACCCAGCCATATCTCAGAGTATGTATTGTCGAAATTGTAAATTCGTTTTGTTTGTAATGGCATATAGTATTTTAAATAAACAAATTTTAAAATAGGTGTTTTAATACCGTATGAGAAATTTTAATTAACTTTCGAATCGTTTTTTTAATAAAAAGCTTGATAGTATACATTTTAAAAGACAGTCTTGATTAAAAGACCAATATATAGAAGACTTTGTCTTGATCAGTAAATGTTCGAAATTACAAAAGTAAATATTTATAAGTACGGTGAACAGGAGGTCAGGTTTCCTGCCAGGTGTACTACATTTTGACCTTATATGCATGGATCTCAATCTCTAATTGATAACCGTGTCAACCCCCGTCATTCGGGCTTCTGTTAATTTTTGCTTTTCACCCCCTTTATACAAACTAAAACTGTTACTCACTGCGCATGTCCATGAGATGCCTAAGGTTAAAATTTTGTTATTAAACTTATTATTGGCAAGTCGGTTAATTGGTGTTTTATTGCGTAAAAAATTGAGTTTCGAATCGTTTTTTAAAAGCTTGACGGTAGTCTTTGAATTACAGTCATGGATGCAAGGCCAATTAAAGGTACGGGCGTAAACGGCTTTTAGAAAGGTATTCTTTAGTTGTACGCCGGAAAGCGAAAGCTTATTTTCGAGATCGAATTTTCCGGTATGCAAAGGGATTACATTATGGAGTTCTACAGACCTGAATTACTAATTGTAATGATAAACCTCTCCATTCGGAGCAGGTTTAAAATTTGTTTTTTTCTGGTTAAAATTAATTAAATTATTTTAAATGGGTAAATCTTAATGCCTTAAATTGTTGTTCGATAAATATGCTTCTTGATAATGATAGTCGAAGAGATTAACCAAAAATATATTTAGCTTTACATCGGATATTTAAATTAAAGATCTAGATCAAAGAAAAATATTTCTATTTTTGCCTTTTAGTCATGACAGTATAGATAAACAACCAGCGACTGGACGTTTTGTGGCAGTCAGAACAAGTACAAATCCGTTAGGAACAAGCCCGTGATGACTACCACGTTCACGAATTTATCGGTTCAGCAACTTTAATTTAACGACCTTTTGTTTTTAAATGCAAATTTAATTTATTTAACAAAATGCTGTTATAACCACATTCTACTATACGATTCACATGTTAATATATGTGACTTAAGCTAGGCAAAGTCTATCTTTAGGTTGGTTTTCTATTTCTACCAGTGGTCTGTCCTTTAAATGCGCGTTTTCGTTCAGATGATAACCGACATTATACAAGCAGCATAATGCCTCAACATTGCCGTTTCTGCACTTAGAAATACAGGTACGCGCATTAGTAGTAGCACGATCGCCACATGTTGCTATGCAAGCAAATGCACGTTTATTTCTGGGACAGGTTACTATCCCGTTACCAGTAACAACTTGACAATTCGGTTTTGAAGAAACTCCTGGCTTGCCTGCAAGTAATGTGATAAAACACTTGTGAAAATCGAGAATAATTAACAAAATTTACATCTAATAAAATTTTCAAAGATTATCGGTTACAAATATCACTTAATGAATTTTTTTGCAAAACAGCTGTGAGCATCTTGCACGGCGATTATTAACTCACATAGTCTGTGTGGCGGGCCCTATTTGGAGCAGAAAAACAGTGGCGAAGCTGGCCATGGCAAATGGTCACGCAATGCTAACAAATGTGCATCTAAATAGGTTAAAGTCAATCACATTTTCAAATATTTGAATAATGTGAATCATTAAAAATTTGCATAGCAAGACCTCTTCGCCACTGCAGAAACAGGGCCGTAGCTAGACACGATAATTGGGTGTGTGTATATTCATATATTCATGTTCACATATCGTAGAAACAATCCATTTCAAAAGAAATCTGTCGGGCAGCAGACGAATATATGAATATACAACCCCCTCCCCCAATTAGCGTTCTAGCTACTGTACGACCCTGTGCAGAAAAGCCAGCTTTTGGACCTCATACTCGATTTGTCTTTACTGTTTCAACGAGGGCACAACACGCTGGCTGTAATTCAAATTGTTATTGCGCCTTCTAAGTTTAACACTATTATCCTTACCAAATACTAGAGTAATCAACGAAGCGTCCCGCTTTTTGCCAAGCAAATATAAAATCTACAATTCCAAAATGCTATTTCAATTTAGACAGAAGTATTTATAATTATTACTGCCGCCAAAACTGAAAATCGCCATGGCAATATCATAATATAAATGTTTCAACAACTAAAAACTACCAACATAATTTCGCTACCCACTCTGGTTTTACTTAACGTAGACAAAATAATTGCATAGCTCGACATGCATTGCTCTTGCACCGTATTTGATATTTTTCGTGCAAAATAAGCACAACGGTTTCAAAGAATCGTCAAATTACATGACAAATTGCCAAACTATTTTTAACTCAATTTTGGAAGCTGGCTACTGAGCCTGGTGTGCTCACACGTGATATCCTTATCCCGACGACTATATCTTGGAATGCTGAGCAAAAATTTGATCAAGCGCGGGCCAGTGCTTTCTCATATGAACAAAACAATAAATAAACCGAACGTTTTAGTTAGCTGTCAACTGTCCCAGCATAGACATTTTCCAACGTTTTTACCTGGTGGTCCAGGAGGTCCAGGACGTCCGCCTGTGCCAGATAATCCTCGATACCCTCGGTCTCCTTTGGACCCTCTCGGTCCTGGTGGTCCTTGAGGTCCAGGACGTCCGACTGAACCACGAGTTCCGGGATGCCCTCTGTCTCCTTTGTACCCTCTCGGTCCTGGTGGTCCTTGAGGTCCAGGACGTCCGGCCGGACCACGAGATCCGGGATACCCTCTCGGTCCTGGTGGTGCAGGAGGTTGTGGTGGCGCTGGTGGGTTTCGCCGTTTCCACAAATTGTCAGGGTAAACTATATTGGCTATAAATCAGAAGGTAGAAAGAATTGTGAGAAGTATCGCCCGATTTCTATTCTTCCAATTATAAGCAAACTATTTGAGAAAGAAGTATTTGGAATGTTTTATCAATACTTAATATATAATTCTCTACTATCCCGATTTCAATCCTGGTACTGCCCAAACATTCGATATTGTCTTTATTAAACCAAATGAGTGATAATTGGTTAGAGAATATAGATAATGAAAATTAACTAACCGAATTAATTTCTGTTGATATTAGGAAAGCCTTTGACTCTATTGATCACAAAATCCCAAACACGCCTGACAAAAATGCATGCCAAAGGGCTTCAATTTCTTTAATTTTTTACTGTTTCTACAAAATTTCCCATAAATATAGAACATGTCATCCTTACAAATCGTATGTTTTTGGTTTTTCGAATTGCTACATTTTTCGCGGGTAAAATGACGTCACAAACTTGCCGCTAAAAAATTAACAGTTAGCTATTGTTAATTTTATGCAATTATTCGGTAGACGACATTGAGAGAGAGTAATAAAACTGACCTCTGTTTCTAAATACGACTATTTCTCGCCAAGATATAGCGGTACAAATGTCGAAAAATCGGCCATTTTGTTACTAAAAATAGAAGAAAATGGCCGATTTTTAGAAATTTAATTGAGTCATGATATCTTCACAAGGAATGGTTGCATTTCGAAACAGACTTCAGTTTTAAGACTCTCTCAATGTCGTCTACCGAATTAGTGCATAAAATAACCAATAGCAAGCGGTTAATTTTTTGGCGCTAAGTTTGTGACGTCATTTTCCCACCAAAAATGTAGCAATTCGAAAAACAAAAATATACGATTTGTAAGAATAATATGTTCTATGTTTATGGGAAATTTTGTAGAAACGGGATGAAAATTAAAGAAGTTGAAGCACGTCAATGAAATAAAGAAGTAAAATACATCTTGAAATAAAGAAGCTTTGGCATTCATTTTTGTCAGGCGTGAAAAGGAAAAATGCAAGAAAATTTTGGAGTTCATAATTTGGAACTACAATGGTCAATGGTTCCAATCATATTTCCAAAAAGAAGTCAAGTTTGTGTTGTTCATGAGCACACATTCTCCGCTAAGGAAATTGTATGCGGTGTTCCACAAGGATCTATTTTTGGACCCCTCCTATTTTTATTATATATAAATTATTTGCCAGAGTATGTCTACAAAACACAACTCCAGAGATGTATGCTGATGATGCTCAAATATATGCATCATCAGCAAGTTTCGCAAACAAAGTTGGCAATGACTAAGTAATGAAAAATAATAATCCCGTCACCCGAGTTCTTCATTTCGATGTTTGGGAGTAGATCTCGATGAAAAGATGAGTTGGAAAAAGCGTATCGATTCAATATGTAAAAAGTCGGCTCAGGTATTGGAATTATTAAAAGAGTTAAACCGTTTGTACCGAATGAAACTTTACAATCTGTTCGAGTCTAAAAGATAAATTTATTAGAAGGGAAACAAATCTTAATAATTAAAAGGTCGGCTATAACTATCCAAGCAAATCTATTCCAAGCCTTAAAATTCCAAATCTATTCCAAGCTCTTGCAAATCTATTCCAAGCTTTAAAATTAAATTGAAACGGGAACTGCTTCAGCAATTTCTAGATAATTAAGGGCATGTTTATCTTTTGTTAATCAATAAGCGTTGTTGTCATTGTCGTCGTTATTGTCCTTGTTGTTGTTGTTGTTGTTGTTGTTGTTGTTGTTGTTGTTGTTGTTGTTGTTGTTGTTGTTGTTGTTGTTGTTGTTGTTGTTGTTGTTGTTGTTGTTGTTGTTGTTGTTGTTGTTGTTGTTTGTTGATGATGTTGATGATGTTGATGTATGTTGTTTGTTGCTGTTTGTTAATGTTGTTGTTTGTTGTTGTTGTTGTTGTTGTTGTTTTTGTTGTTGTTGTTTTTGTTGTTGTTGTTGTTGTTGTTGTTGTTGTTGTTGTTGTTGTTGTTGTTGTTGTTGTTGTTGTTGTTGTTGTTGTTGTTGTTGATGTTGTTGTTTTTGCTGTCGCTGTTGATGATGTTGATGTATGTTGTTTGTTGCTGTTGTTAATGTTGTTGTCAAGAATTGGTGTCGTGTTTGTCCATAAAGTAATTTCGTGATCTTATTATATAAATTTAGGATCCAATGTATAATTATAGTAATTAATTGATATGTATGTGTATTCTTGTCACTGAAAAGCCCTTTTAGGGGAGTGTCAATAAAGTCAATATATAAGCAATAAACAAACAATTCAATTTTAGAATTGCCTAGTACTAATCTTTCAGTTCTTGAGCCAAATACTGAATATTAAAAAAAAAATGTTTTCGGTGTACAGTGGTGCTGTACTAAGGAACAGCCTACCTTAGAATCCTTAACCTTAACCAGCCTACCTAAGAATCCTTAACCAAGTTCAAAATCCTGCAATGGAACAACTGAGTCAGACGTCGATTATTCTTGATATATTCAATTTTTAAATGTATGCATATGTGTGTTCTATTTTAGAATTTTTTTAATTACTATTAGCTTTTTAGACTACTTTTATATTAGAGTGATATTTATGTATATAATTAATTGTGTGACGCCCCTCATGAAAAACATCTTCGGATGATGAGGGAAGCGTGGATAAATAAAGTTTTATTTTATTCTATTCTATAAATGAAACTCATCAGATCATTGATTTAAAAGCTAGGAGCGAGTAGTGTATTTACTATGCAGAAATTAAGGTAATCGGGGTAATATTAGACAAACAGAACAATTTTTCCGCACTTGCAAGTTATAACAAGTTCTTATACTGTTTCCGTTACTTGTGGAGAAGTACACGTATTGCGTATCAATGGCTTTTTATATATCATATACAAAATGGCCGTAAAGAAACAATCGTTGGCAGGTGTGGAAAATTCCAATTCCAAGTTATGTTGGAGAAGATATTTGCTTAATTGTAAAACACGGAACAATTCGATTGTTAAAGAATTTAGTCTATTTTTTCATTCTAAATATTCTGATTTAAAAGGGTGCTCTATCCAATTCTATATTAAGAGAAGTGAATGAAATATTTCACGCGGGCTTATCTATAGCTAATCCAATCGAAATTGTCCTTTCAAAGTCAAATTCAAAACCGCAAAACCTCGACCTCTAAACGCAAAAAATGCAACGGACATTCATATATATACAGTATGTCATTCATCGTTTCGACAATCTGTAGGCTTTAATTAAGGTTGCTATGTATAAGATTTAGTTTTGCGTAAAAAAGCGATTTATAATATCTGACTAATTCTTGCGATTTTCGCTTCTATATTTCGCATTTCAATTTGCTCGTCTAATCCAATTTAATAGCAAACCCGTCAGAATTGACCTCTACTTGCAAGGTTGTAAGAAGGTTCGGTAAGTGGCTATATCTAACGGTGTTGTAAAAATCAGCGGCACTTGTTTCTGCAGTATAGGTATAGGTTTTATCTTTAAAAAAACCAAGGCGTTCTATTGCAAGCTACTATTAATATTTCGATTTGATGGCGATGCTTGTTCACGTAAGTATAATGTAGTATGTTTGGGCCGAACGGTATACAAACTGCATGCGATTAAAGCCGGCAGACTGCATTATTTCCCTTCGTTCGCAAGTTGACCATTTGCAACGCAGGCGAGCCACGGAATAGCAGATTCCCCTTATTACGTTTTTGTAGCGCTTTGCATTGTGGTTATAGTGGTGTCACTGATAAAGATAGCGTCCTCGAATGAAAATACTGAATGTTTTCGCGAATATTTTGCTGTTGGCTATCGCGCGCCTGACCCTAGCTTTTTAAATTGTTCTTACACGGGCCAGGACAAAAAATAAGCCATCTTGAATGTCAGTGATACCGGTATAACCACAATGCAAAGCGTTACGAAAACGTAATAAGGGGAATCGTCAGTTGCTCAGCTGGACATGTAAGGCATAACAGACACGAACAATCTTCACCTCATCATTCAGTGCTTGAAAAAATGAAGTTAAATTTATATGATACTAGAAACATTTGACGTTTTTAAAGCTGTAGTGCTGACAGGCATACATACACACAAGCGCTGATAAAAACATAAGCTCCTGGCCGGAGAAAAATGAAATTTCAATTCATTACGTTAGTTGTCTGGATCAGAGTATTGTCCACAGTAGTGTGATTTCAAAACATCTAGATGAAAGTGACTAAAGAAATGAGTTAATTTATTTCATTTCTGACGTCACTTACTTCTCTTTCAGCCCCTTTTCGACATTTCACTTTCGACTTGATCGCTGGCTGCAAAAAATAAAAACATTGCATTTGAAGTGCATATACAGCACAAAACTCTTTGTTCTTTGAACGAAAAGAAGTCTTAAAAATGTACAACAGCAATTCTTGTTTAAAATTTCTAGTATTTGATATTTTGTTATTAAGGCATTGCGTTTTCCAGTACAAAACAATATAGCAATTTAATCGCCTGTGTCATTATTAGTGAGTTGGGCAAATTTAAAAAAAAATTTGAAAGTAATAATAGGTGTATTAAAACATCAAGAAAGAAGGAAATATACTAGGTCGCCAGCGGGGGAAATTTTATGATAAAGACAAAACTTTATACTTCGGACAATTTCATGAACGTAAAATTCGGCAATTTCTGGAAAATAGTCCTCCCCCTCCCGCCAAATAAACAACAACAACTGCCCGTAGTTGTATTCTTCAGTACCTACTACTACCTACACTAGTACCGAGCGTTTAAGATTCTATCATCAACGAACGTTTATTTCTTGATGAAAGAGGTGCACGGGTTAAGCAAGACACAAACAGAAAGTCAGAATATGATATGCATGGAAGTGTTTGAGAAAGGCTGTATATAGTGAAGTGATACTGTAAGTTAAATTTAAAAGTACTATACAATTATCAAATACTACAAATATAACGTCAGTCAATTTGCGCTGGTCCATTTGCAGAGAATGGAATTTATCAACTTCTGCAAATCGAAATAAAAATCAGTAAAAATGTACTCAGCAGTTTTCTCAGACTTTTTTCGCTTAGTAATAAATAACATATATGCACATAATTATTAATATGCACTGAGTTAAAGCAATCTCACTGATGACATTAATCTAGCTGTCCATTATCGGCAGTTATCTATAGTTTTCATGAAGCAAACGTTTTATTGTCAGAATCAAACTCTTGTGGAGAATGTAGCTCTTGATTAAAAAAAAAGAACGAACAGTATGTTAGTAATGTTTACAACATGAGCGGCCGTGTTGTATCAGATAATAAACGACTTAAAAAACGACTCATCTTATGAGTTCATTGGCGAAGTAATTTTAAAAATAAACGTTGTCTAAGCCGAGAAAATTAAAGTTAAAGTTTATGTAAATCAACATGAATCTGTATCACATATACAGATACAACACGCTTATGATTTTTCTTTGTGTTTTCTTCATGAATTATTAATGAGTTTTTTAATGCCAAATACTGAATGAGAAGTATAGATCATTTTAAAATGAGCATTTATAATACCTGGCCCTCTGCCAGGAGGACAAATAAAGACGCAGACAAAATGCCAAATGAGGAAGTATTGAGAACAACATCAAAAGAAAGATCTTAATTGAGAGGGATTATTAATTAAAGAGGGACAAACGAGACGGTTGAGTCAAATTCTGAGATACGGCATGGCTTCGATTAAAAACAGTTTTAGAAAGACAACTGCTCGGAAAAATGTATAGAAGTAAACCAAAAAAGAGCATTTTAGAACAAGAAAGAGCATTTTAGAAGATATCGAAGAGAAAAGGTCAGATCCTGAGAAGACGGGCTTGTAAGAAATCTAGATATCGGAACCCAAAGCAAAAAAAAAGGCTGGCCAAATGACCAAAACGAGAGTAAAACTGAGCATTATATGCAATACTCTTTGCTAAATCATTACAATAGAAATAATGTACATTCGGCTGCAGTATATTTTTCAAAACTAATAATACGATTTTTTAAAATCTGTAACCGTACTTTCTTCCGTATCAATTGAGGTCAAATTTGCAAACAGAATAAAGTGGAAATCTATTATTTTCCTAATCTTGATGTTAATATTTCTTCAGATTTTGAAGAGCGTTAGACAAAGCAAAGGCAAAGCAAACTAAATGAATTAAGGCTTAACATTAAAGCCAGAGGCACATAGCACCTATCAGTGGTGTAGCATGTTGAACTATCACCATCAGTGGTGTAGCATGTTGAACACGATCACAGCCAATGGTTCGTGGGTCTGAATGCATGCTTGCTTGGCGAAACAAAAATTCTGAGTCTTGAGAGGAATTACGAAAAAACATTTTTTATCGCTTAGTATATGTCTGATTATGCATGGCTTACCGTCTTCTGTATCAATTGAGGTTGCATCTGCAAATAAAATAAAAGGTAATATATAGCTGACTAAATCTTCATGTTTCTGCAGATTTTTAGGAAATGCAGCTTTACCTATGTATATGCATGGTAATCACCTTTAATGCCACATGCATGCACGCAATGTAAATTAAAAAGGGCCAAAACGACCCCAAATTCCGTTTCAGCCCTTTTGGGGCCAAAGCTGTTTTGGCCCTATGCGAAAGCCATTTTGGCATTGGAGAGCTGGATCGGTACCCACGGAGCCATTTTAGGTATGGAGGAAAGCCAAATTGGCCCTACCCTTTGCCGTAATGGACCCATCATTTTCCAATTTAGCCCCATCAATTGCCAATATGGCCCCACAGACCAAAACGACTCTCACGTCCGGGTTTGTTTTGGCCCCACATAAAGGTGCCGCTTTTGATCAACACATTGGCCCGTATGAGCTTCGTTTCGGCTCTCCATCGCGGAACGACTCTCGCATAGGTCAAATCGACCCTGGAATGAAATAGACCCTTCTGTCGAAACGACCCTTCTGTCAAATCGACTCTTAATTGTGTCAAATCGACCCTTCCGTCAAATCGACAGTCTTAATTCTGTCAAATCGACCCTTCTGTCAAATCGACTCTTAATTGTGTCGATCGTCCGTCATATGATCGTATCAAACTAACTTCCGCATAAAACTGATGCACATGCTCGTAAAGAAAAAGAAGAGGACGCTTTTTGGATTATACAAGGAATCGACCCTTTTGTCAAATCGACTCTTAATTGTGTCAAATCGGCCCTTTTGTCAAATCGACTCATGAATGTGTCAAATCGACTCTTCTGTCAAATCGACTCTTAATTGTGTCAAATCGACTATTAATATTGTGTCAAATCGACCCTTCCGTCAAATCGACAGTCTTAATTCTGTCAAATCGACCCTTCTGTCAAATCGACTCTTAATTGTGTCGATCGTCCGTCATATGATCGTATCAAACTAACTTCCGCATAAAACTGATGCACATGCTCGTAAAGAAAAAGAAGAGGACGCTTTTTGGATTATACAAGGTGAGATTTGATGTTTCATTTTGTAGGGTATTGAAATTTGTATTCCAGATTTTTAGTAATTTTGTCGTAAATATAAATGGAGCGACCGCCCCGGACGGAGCGACCGCCCCCCCTCCAGTTGCTGGCTGGGCGGTCGCCCCCTGGCTTTGTATTCGCTTCACAGTCGTGCAAAATTGGTTTATTATAGAAATAAATGGGACAAATTCTGTCAATTTTGTGGGAAATTCTGTCAATTATGTGGGAAATATGCTATCTAATAGGAATTTTTTGTAATCACTTCTCCAGTCCCCCCGTCGACAACAATTTTGGATAGTTTCTCCGCCAAATTGTTTTTGACAACGTGTGCATAATCCGAAAAAGTCGGGAAAAATTCTTTCCAACCCCCTAATATTTTCCTTCCCGTACGCCCATGCTTAAAATCGCATTAACTCGCCAACATGCATTCTGTTTGATACATTCAGTCAATGATGTACTCAAGTTTATCAATTGCTGCTATTTTGCTGGCAAATCATGTATAATCCAGGTGTTTTGCAATCAAAAGTAATGCAACATGGATAAATCAAATAAGTGGATTAAGCTGACAATATTTAGTCACTCAATAGGCTCCGGTCGTTAATAAAAACAGAGCCTTTTTCTGCTTTATGCAGACTTTACAATAATTAGGCAATTCTGGGATATGAAAGACCCATACATTCCATTACACTACCAGTTACTGGTTAATTTCATTATTGGTGTAAAATGTGGAGGCTGGGCTACAATTTATATGGACTATGGTGGCTGGGCTACAAATTAATCTATAATATACATGGCTTCTCAAAGCCTAATTGCTGTTAGAACAACAGTCTATGATAATGAGAGTCAATGAGTACGAGTATATAATAAGGTCATCCTGCAATTTGTGCACTGTTGCATGTAGATCGAGCACTGCATTGTATACAATGGTTGTACTTCGACATGTGCATGGTTATACTCTAGCTCCTAGTTATAATTATATTGGCTATCAAACGAAAAACATACGTGACTGAGGTTATGAGCGAGATTTGCAAGTTTTGCAACTCTCATCTATTAAATTTTCCAGACCTGTATATAAAATAAACAGTAAAACAATGATTACATCGTACATACCATACAATCTTTGTTGTTGCTTGTTTGCAGAACACTTGACAAATTATCAGGTAAAAGACTTAAAACCACGATGTAGTACGCGGTGTGCCACATTTTGTTTAGTAATTTCTTAAAATAATTTAGAATTCCGACTATTTATATGCGATATACTTCATGTAAATTAAACTTTACGGCATTACGCCGACAGTTTCCGAATGCGTGACAATACTGTTTCAAACTGTTTCTGGATATAGATATCAAACATAATTTTATAAAACATGTTTGTTGAAACAGTTTAAATAAAAAGCAAGCTAAATAAAGAAGTGTTGACAAGATACGAAACAAGACAATTTCACTTACAAGGGTGACAAGGTAATTTATAGGAATATAGCTTTAATATTGTAACTGTATAAATACATTGTGCGTTTCTACTCCCTGTGGGCTGTGGTTCTTTTGGAAATCAAATATCTATTATATTTTGCAATTAATAATATTAAAGTTTAGCCTAAGACATGTGTAGTTTAGTTATAGGTTGGCATTTTGCAATTATGTACCGTACATGCCCCTTAAGTAGAGTATATTTATTAACTGTTTACAATATTTGTGGTATATAATGTAGCCATGAATGACCCCACAGGATGAACTACAATGGCTTCTAAATAAGACATTGGATGAAAACTTCACGAATATTGAGCTTTATATATGATTCGGGTTAAATACAATAATTATTAACCTAGCTTTATATAAAATGTACATACATGTTCTAATAATTGTATTTTGCTTCATACAATGCATATGTGTGTGAAAACATTACATTATTCAGCTCACTCCCCTTTGGGGCTTTTCAGTCACCGCTTACATCAAGTATTAGGATTACTTATGTTAGTCTAGACTATATATCTTTATAACAATGAGCTCGAGAATATGATATCACTTTTCTAACTGTGTTTATTCTAACCCACCCTGCCATATTTTGCCTTGTGGGAAGAAACCAGAGCAAAATATAAAATTCAATTACCTTGAAAACACCTAAATTGCAATCCCTAAAATTTAGAATTTTCTCCTAAATCGCCTTAAATCGCCTAAAATCGCATTATATCGCAGTGCTTGCAAATCCCAGTTTTTCCTTAAATCGCCTAAAATCGCCCAAAATCGCATTATATCACAGCGATTTAGGGCGATTTACCGCCCCAGAGTAGGCCCGATATTGTTGTAGTATATAGGACATCTGACTTGCATGTCAAATTAATAGTTGAATCTATGATTATATTGAGCATAGTAGATTTGACATTTGAAACATTGTTGATGTTAATAAGCCATTGAGTCGCATTGTGCCCTGATGCACACTAAGTATTTATTATTTTACTCTGTCTAACGCTAGGCAATTTTACTCATCAAGGGGAGAGCGCTGGCGCTTAATGTGTTAACTAGCCTATCTGCCCATGTTTATAGTTAACCCATTGAGTCGTATTGTGCCCTAATGCGGCCTAATTTATTATTTTACTCTGCCTAACGCCAGACAATTTTACTCATTAACGGGAGAGCACTGGCGCTTAAATGTGTTAACTAGCCTATCTGCCCTTGTGTCTAGTTAACCCATCGAGTCGCATTGCGCCCTAATTTATTATTTTACTCTATCTAACGCCAGACAGTTTCAATAATTAAGGGGAGAGCACTGGTGCTTAATGGGTTAACTGGCCTATCTGCCCATGTGTGTTGTTAACACATTGAGTTGCATTGTGCCCTAATTTATTATTTTAGTCTGTCTAATGCCAGATGATTTCACTCATTAAGAGGAGAGCACTGGCGCTTAATGGGTTAACTGGCCTATCTGCCCATGTATGTTGTTAACATATCGAGTCGCATTGTGCCGTAATTTATTATTTTACTCTGTCTAACGCCAGACAATTTCACTCATTAAGGGGAGAGCACTGGTGCTTAATGGGTTAACTGGCCTTAACCCATTGAGTCGCATTGCAGCCTACTTTATTTTTTTACTCTGTCTGAAGAGGAGAATGCTGGTGCTTAATGGGGTTAATATTGAAAATATAGATCAACATTTGTCAAAACTCATGACTTGTCGATCGAAGAGAATGTAGAATTGCACTTTACATAAAATTCCCTAGTTATTGTACATTAATGCAAAAAAAAAATGCATGACATTGTGTAATATTTGAAATGGAAATATATTGTTTTAATTTTATTTCTATGGTTTGTACTATGATATACATGGAGTCCTAAACACGATGTGTGGGTGCGAAGGAACAGAACTGTACCGATTAGAAATATGATTACTGATATTTTCCAAAGAAAAACTATTAATATATAGAAGAGGAAAGAAAGAGGCAATAAATAGCCCAAAGTATCTTTTGTACATTTGAAATTTAAAATGGTAGGCTTATTAAGGATGAGATACAGAAAAAATAGTAATGCAGAACTACATTCTCTTAAATTGTCAAAATTAAACGATATCAATCTTGGTCTCGTTTCAAACTTGAATAACGAAAAGTCTAAAAATATAAAAACTATAAGAACAGATCAGCTAAGTACAGTTCAGGGCTCGAAATAACGTTTCCAAGGTTCCCGATCATGATGATCAGCAGTCATGATTTTCTGCTGATCAAATGAAAATCCGACCGATCAGTATAGAATTCCTTTGTGTTTATACGTTCTGTGATAATGCCGTAGTATTGCATGGTGTTCGTTAACGACATAAACCGTGTTTTTGAGACAATGGTTCTTGCCGATCAAGATGATCGGCAACCTTGCTTCTCTGCCGATCAAAAGCAATTTCCTGCCGATCGTTGATCGGCCGTTATTTCGTGCCCTGCCAGTTATAAAATTAAATGATGAAGGAAAGC